TGTCTGTGTCCCTGGGCAGGCCCTGAGGTGCCTCAAGTCCAAGCGGAGGACGGAGCGGCGCATCGAGGAGCTGCACTCCAAGCTGGATGCGGTGCAGGGAATCCTGGATCGGATCTACGCCTCCCAGACCGACCAGATGGTACCGAGGGCTCCTCCCCAGCTCCTTCCCTCCTCCCTTCACCTCAGGGTGGGATTTCCCCTGGGAATGTCCCTCTGGATAAAGCTCCCCCATGGCCCGGTGTTTCTCCAAGGATCCTGCTTGGGAAGCAGCTCTGCACAGGAGCTCCCACTGTTTTCATCAGCGTTGTGCATATTTGTATTTTATTTTTAATTTCCAGGTATTTAACACCTACCAGCCTAGAGTTCATCAGCACTGTGCATATTTTTGTCTTTTACGTTTAATTTCCAGGTATTTAGCACCTACCAGCCTGGACTTCATCAGCATCGTGCATCTCCAACTCTTTTATTTTGAATTTCCAGGTTTTCAATGCCTACCAGGCTGGAGTGGGAGCTCTGAAGCTTTCCATGAAGGATGTGACTGTGGAGAGGGCAGAGAACCTGGTGGATCAGATCCAAGAGGTACTGGAACAGCCAGGGGGGTGTGGGTATTCCCAAGAAACCTGCCCAGATATTAATTAATTATTAATTCTTTGGTTGCTTTTAATTATTTAGTTTTTTTCCTTTATGGCACCAAAGCAAACTGACTTAATTTTGAGCTAAAACATCAGCAAAAAGAAGATTTCTGTGTCTTCCGTTTTTGCTGCAATGTATTTTAATTTACTTGAAATTTGTGCATTTTGTGGGCTTTTTTTAATCAGCAATATTGGGGAAGCACCCAGCTTTCCTAGGAAATCTTTAGATGTATTAAAAATACAAATCAAACCTTTGGAAGCTGGAATGCAACTGTGTGCATGAAACAGCTTGACGTTTTGGTTTAGTTTTGTTTTTGTTCTGTTCTTATTGTTCTGTTTTTTCCTATTTTTATTTGATTTGTTGTATTTTAATTTAATTTTAATTCTAATTTTATTTTATGTTTATTTTATTTTATTTTATTTTATTTTATTCTGTTTTATTCTGTTTTATTTTATTGTTTGTTTTTTTTTTTTTTATAGCTTGGACTTGATGATCTCAAAGGTCTTTTCCAACCTAGTTAATTCTGTAATCTCCTGCATTTCAGTGAGGGAAATGAGTTAATTCTGCAGGAATTGAAGTGAGCAGAGCAGTCTGGCAGTCTAAGCTGGTGTGAAAAACAGCCAAGGATTAATTTTTTAGCACCATCAGCTCAAACTGAGCCTTCAGCTCGAGCTGAGTGGCTGCAAAATGCCGTGGTTGGGATGTGTTGGTCTTCAGCTTCCTGATTCTGAAGCCCAAGCTGCAATTTCAACTCATGATTTCTGTGAAAAAGCTCCAATTAGAGCGATAGTTTTACTCCCACTGTGAAATTCTGCTTTAGGTTTGATCCTCAAATGTGCCATCCTTGGTGTTGTTATTTATTATTGTGAAATAATCTTCATGTTCCTTGTGAAAACCAAGGTGGAAATGTCTTTTGCACTAATTCCTGCTGCCTTCAGGCCAGCTTCTGATTTTGTTCGTTATTTCCACTCCCGATAAAGCAGCTACAGTAGGGCACAAAGATAATTTCTAATCTGTACATGATTGTGTTTGTTTTACCTCAGCTTTGTGACACTCAAGATGAAGTGGCCCAGACTCTGGCTGGAGTGGGGATCAATGGTCTGGGTATGTCCTGAGTGTTTTATCCTTTGCTC